CACCATCAAAACGCTGAAATGGGATCTGCTACCGCACCCGCTGTATTCACCAGACCTGGCCCCTTCCAATTATCACTTGTTCCGGTCGATGGCACATGGCTTAGCTGGGCTACACTTGGCCAATTTCGAAGAAGTGCAAAACTGATTGGATAAATGGTTTCGATGCAAAGACGCGTCGTTTTATCGTCGCGGTATTCATGTATTGCCAGAGAGATGGCAAAAATGTGTAGCTAGCGAGGGACGATACTTTGAATAAACCGTTTTTTGTATTTCTCTTGAAATTTTCCATTTTGCATTGATAAAAAAAACCCGGAACTTAATTGCGCACCTAGTATATTCGCTCTCTGCGTCAGACACAATTTGTGTGTAATAAAGAGAGCGAATATAAGTCCGATCTTGAATATAAGGACGGACTATGAATGCCGCCATATACAATCAAAAGAATTGCGTTTGAGATCCATCTTAAATATGTATCAAATAGTGTTAAATGCAAAATCTTTAAAAGGCGTTGCGTTGTAACTTCTAAATCGTTTATTCAAAAATTGTTTGTTTATTTTCCATACTAAAGGTGGGATAAGCTCAAGGCCGAAACGTCTGTGGTTTTTCTATATGATGTAAATCAGTGCCCGAAATTATCTCAGCATTTCAGCCGATTCTAATAGTTGATGCTTTTTTTCCTATCCTTACCACGCGTACATGAGCCGCTAGGACCAGCGCCGTCAAGTGTCGAGAACGGCACTATCCAATTAATAATTAGGTTTTTTTCCCTTTATTATTAAAATTTTTTAAATGTATTAAAAATTGTTTTTTTTTTTTATTTTTAAATTTATTATGGAAATATTTCATTAGATTTCCAAGTCAGGTAATATTGTTGACGCGTTCTTTTCAGAGTAGTTTTCCCAGTAGATCTGGGAAACATTTTTAAAATTTTAATAATAAAACTAGCAGAATCTAATCATTGATTAGGATGGACAGTGCTGCTTCTGACGCGAGGCTGGTCCTAGCGCTGAAGCGCGCTCGGTAAGGAGAAAAAAGGAAGCGTCAATCACGAGAATCGACTGAACTGCTGAGATAATTCAAAGCACTAATGTGAATAATTGCGAGCATTAAATTCTAACTTTTAACTCTACCAGCTTATGTAATAAAATTATAATAATCATTTAAAAATTTTTATAAATTACGAAAAAATATAAAGTAAAACGTATGTATGTACACCAGTTTTTCGACTTAAATAAATATATCAGCATTAGTCGGAAACGTTATATAATTACAACAAACAACAATATCTATATATATATATACATATATTGTTAAACGTTTTAGCATAAAAAATTAAATTTGTATCTTTGAATTGTAAATCACAAACATGTAGAAATTTACACCTATAAATGTCGGTCTCAGTATTATCCACAATAATTATTATAAATTTACACAACAGTATCTTATAGTGTAAATCGTCGCTACATTCGTTCTGAAGATCATTGTGTATTTGCAGAATGTAATGTTGCCGACATAGCATTCGGGTCAAAGGACCAAAATGTTTCCGATTAGATGCGGCGCAAGTTAAATGTATGATGGGCAAAATAAACTAATTTAACGCATACAATCAAAACACAAATTAAAATAAATTTTTGTGTGGAACGTTATAAATTATAATTACATTTACTGCACACAAAAAGGACTCCATTTACATTACTATCTGTAAAATTGTTATCAATATAACACTGTGGAGTATGCGCGATGAATTACGTGTAATTTGACAGTAAAGCGTAAATCACGCGATATAGTCACTAAAGGCCAATTGAACGTTTAAGCAAAATTCGTAACAAATTATGGCACTTATACAAAGGCATAGTCGCACAACGCATAGAGTAAGCATCTTCCGAGTCGCGGCGTGCAGACAATCGATCAGCAAAGGAAATGCAATAAAGATAAGGTAATCAAAGATAACTAACGTCCTCAACGAGGAACACTTCGCGATATGCACGAAATAAGAAAACCTCGAGTCGATGCACGAAGTGTTTGATCAGCACGTTGCTGAATGCACGGCGGTAACCACTGTACACCAGTACTAATTGCGATAGAAAAATTAAAATAACAACACGACACTCATTTGCGAAATTTTATATAAAAATAGACATTCTTGAAACTGCTTTGAAGATTGTTTCTCGAATATTCCATGAAATAATATTTGTCGAATAATTATAAGCAATAAGAATTTGCGAGATGTATCAAGTGCAACAATGATTTAATTCGGTACTCTATGCTGTGTTCGATACCAAGGCGATTTATTTCATAACTGATTTTAATATTTGAAATTGTATTTTGCTTACTTCAGAATTAATACAAAAATAAATACGTAAAAATGTTATAATATTGGAATTTACAAAAATTGTGGAAATGTTAGATAAAATTCAACATAAATAAAGGCAAATTTTTTTTTAATTTTTCCTGCAATTGTTTTATGGAAGATTCAGTTCAAAACGTTTTTTAAGTCAAATTATTTATTATAGATGGAAAATTGCAAATAATAGATTACAATTCAGTTTTTCAGAGCAAAATACTTCAAAATTAAGATTACTTGATTGGTCTAATTTTAATCTCCAATTCGCAAACTTAAAAATCTAATCTGATACGGATTTATTGAAATGTAATACAAAAATCTTTTGTTGAGAAAACATTGAATTACAATTTTATACATTTAAGTATTTCAAACATTACTTGCAAGTGTAATACAGGGAAATGATAACATAACATTGTAAATTATGAAAATTTATCAGTAATGATGCTGCTGGTTAAGCACTTTTGTCTGCTAATTTTGTAAGTTAAGAATATATAAATATATTGCATAACATTCGGACAAAATATTTTATAGATATAGGTACATATAAATGTGTACTTTTATATTTCTGCAATCAACATACATACACTGAAAGATAGATGTGTGATATTTGGATTTATAACTGCATTCTAATATAATTATAATTGCAATACTCATTTTTATAGAAATTGTTAGTATAATGTTAGCAATGTAATAACCTCATACGTATAGTATTGCTAAAAATAACTAACCACATAGTGCATGGACGCTACACGGAGAAAATGTTATGTCAAAAATTTCTATGTACGGCAGTAACCGCGAACCATGAAGTCACAGACCGAAAATTTTTACTATGTTTTACATGTGAAAAACATAGTAAAAATTTTTATAATTCCTTCATGGTCCGCAGCTACTACCGTACATAGTAATTTTGAATATAAAATTTTTTCTGTGTAGCGTCTATGCATGGCACAAATCGAAGAGCTAAAGTTTTTACGATGACTAATATGTAGCAGAATATGTTGCACTCCGGTTTAAAAACAAATATAGCATACTAGGTTTAGAAATGAGACACATAGATGTTCCCAGCGATATAAGTTGGCTTCAATTTATTTCACGCAGAAAATGTATGTTTCTCTCGGAACAGTGGTTGCAGACTGCTAGGATAGTAAATAGAAAATTTGAAAAACTCCACGGAACAATTCTGCGCAAAAAAAAATATATTTTTAAATCTTTGTACAACTTAATATCACCCAAATTACACGCCGATATTTTGAAAGAGATGATATTATGCCTAATTAGGACTAGAACTTATATTAGAATTAACAAAATAAATAAAGAACTTATTGCTTCCAAACTAAGAAAACGAAAAAAAAAACTAACTAAATTTACTAATAAAAAAATAAAATTCTAGTATTAATGTGTGTGTTGATTAATCCTATACCTGTATTTAAAATTAGATTATTTCTATATAATTAATTATTCACACTAGTCAAATTAATATATTATTTAACCGAAAATTCTTTTAAAATTACTAATGTCGAATTTATATGCTTTAAATTTGGCGTTTGTTATGACGTAATCAAGAACAAAGCCGCTGATTGATCATGCGCATGAGCATACCCTTGTCTTTATGCCATGCTATCGACCACTTTTCGGTATAAAGGCTCCTGTATCAGTGCTCTCAGATTTGCCCTGATGGGCGCGCATGCGCGACCTAACGAGCGTAAAAACAGTGGCGTGCGCACTGGCGTACTTTTGGCAAGTTCCAGTTTAAATGACGGGCTACACACAGATTGCACCAGAACTGCCAGACTGAAGAGCCGGACAATAAGCTACTGCACAGGACAAGATGAGACTGATATATGAGTAAGTAAAGGTGATATTATAATTTCAAAATAGTAGTGCAAATTTTTAGTGATATTAGTGCAATATGGATAATAAGAAAAAAGGAGCTGTTAAAAAACGAACAATAAGAAATTTTAATTTATCATGTAAATCGAAAACATCTATTAAATTTTTAAAATTTTTACATATATTTTACATATATTTTTGAGAGCAGTTTTTGGAGGGAGTCATATAACATCTTCTTTCACTTGGTATTGTACTTCAGTGAAAGAGCATTAGGTCGCGCATGCGTGCCCATCCGGGCAAACCTGGAAACACTGTCTTGTATGTAAGACTCGTATTCAGTTATCTGCGTCTAGTCAGTTGAAACAGATACAATGTCAGAAATTATCATAACAAAAGACAATTTGTGGAAATATTTTGAAAGAATTACCGAAGAGAAATTTCGAGCAAATTGCAAGAAGTGCGGAGAAAGTTTTACCTACATCACAGATACAGCTTTTTTAGCACATTTACGTACAAAGAAACATCAAAAATATTTCGTCGATGAAGCAAACAAAAACTTAGAAGAAGAACCGTATATATATTACGACCAATTAAAGCAACAATGTGAAGTTTGTGATAAAAACGTTTTATATGAAAGATTTGAGGCTCACGTACAAGACCATTTTGAAGAAGAAATGGCATATTATGAAGCGAGAAGGACTATCAAGGAACATATGATACAACATGATAATTTTGAGGCAAAGTGCGGAGTGGAGAATTGTGATGATATTATACTTCTTCAAATTATACCACCATTAATATATCATTTAGAAAGCAAGCATAGGAACGAATTGGAATATATCCAAAAGGACGCAACGCGTGTACCAACTAAGGTCACAAATAGGGAAGAACTATTGCAGAATTACACATTACACACTGAATATTTTCATGCAAAATGCAACTTTTGCAACTATAAAGAATATTATGTTGACACTGTAAAGTTTCATGAACATTTAAAAAACGATCATAACGAAGTTTATTCATACGAAAATGCAAAAAAAGGATTCCCGTGGGAACATTTCAAATATTATGACGAAGACAATTTACAATGTCTTCTCTGCAGAAATTTGCATACTGAAGTGTTTATGCTAGAGTGGTTAACAGATCATATATATTCGTACCATAATCGAACATATTATGCAACTCTTCATAACCGAAACAGCAGTGATATGACCTGGAAATACATTGACATCAGCGGAGATTTTCAAGTGCGATGTCGTCTTTGTTCCGCCGAAAACAAACTTGATATTAACTTTACAAAATTAAACGACCATATTGTAAAAACACATCTGAAAGAGCCACCAAGTACGAAAAGCAGGTATGATAAAATAGCTGAAGCGTCAGAAAGCCCACAAAAAAAAAAAGTAAGGAAAAAGATGTGACAGTAAGTTTTATTGTTAATACAATTATATACGTGCATATAGTTAATTTTAATTTGGTCAACTCGCGTTTTAGTAGAACAAAATCAAACAATAACCAGACAACTTGTTTCACAAGCAAATATTTATAAATTTTATAGGTTTATCTAAAGGTGAATGATGCTAACGGCGATCATGTAGCACGACAACCAGGCACCACGACAAAAGGCAATCTTGACTTTGGTAATTGAAATATTTTAGGTTATTTTATATTAAGCAATTTATAATGCACAGAAAATAATGAATCTCTGACGTGTAATAATTTGTTTTATGTTTATAAAATACGTTTATAAATTGACGCTTTATAAGAAAGATTAAGTTTTGTTTTTGGAATTTATGAAATATACTTGATATATTTAATATATTTGATATATTTTGCTTATATGTAATCTGTCTTAAATTTGTAAACTATGCTTATAATTTCATAAAGTAAAACAATTTTATAAAATAACAATCGACTCTTCGGTTCACAAACAAAATTTGTTAATAAGTTATTTAGCACAATATTTCAGTTTAATTTTTATTTCTTACAATTCTATGTGTATCTTGGTTGTACGTGTAGTCTGAATATTTATTGTACTTTAGACAATTTAAATTTATTATGACTCCTTAGTCATCTTTATATTATTACAAGTTTTCGAACTATAATATTAATGTAATAATAATTATTGGTAAAATACGAGTATGTCAGTTGGAGTTTTGCAGTTATTATACTTAGCCGTTTAAATTGATAATACTTTGAGTAAATAAAAAAGATTAATTTCTCATTAACGAAATGTATGCTGTAACACATGTAAGACGATTTCTTTATACAATTGAAAAATATTTAAAACAAATGCTTATTGTATCATTTGGCTATTTTCATAATAATTTTTTATTCCTTTGTTTAATAACACTATCAGAAACTAACGTCTATCAGTTAAATTCGATAATTATACAAGATTTCTCAAATGTATGTAGCTATCGAAAATCTGCAAAAACAAAATATTGTAACGACACAACTTTTTAATTATTATAATTCAAAATATAATTGAAAAAATTAAAACGACTCGAACGACATGTAAATTAATTATGTTTTAAAGATTATAACTATTTATTATTAAGGATATAAATTGCGATCATGACACTTCATGAAACTAAAACTTAAATACATTGAGAGCATAATGTAAGCGAATGTATAAATAATGTATTAATTCTCTAAAGTATTACAAGTATCTATAAAATTGCGTCATGTTATTATTTTAATATTATGTTTATGTAAAATTTTTTAGATTACTTGCTTAACCATCAATGCTTGCATGATGTTCAGTTTGCGGTACATAATTTTGAATATGGACATAACGCATTTTTCAATTCATAGTAATTTGGTATAATTAATAGTATAATTATAATTAGACTGAGTGTGGATGTTAATACATGGCATGTAATAATTATAGTTATACTTAAAATACATATATATGAAAGAAAAACGCTTTATTTAATTATTCTATACAAAAATATTTAGTATGCCCACAGAAAATAAAAAAAAATTTTTTTAATGAAAAAAATATTGACCCACATATAAATTTAAGTAGCATTAAAAGAAAGTAGAATTTTAATTTGCATGCTATTTAATTTTAAAAAAGTTATTTTTTTTGTGTATAAATTTTTAAAGTTATGCTTACGTAATTAATTATTATAATTTTATTGATGTATGAAATATTTCGCAATATAAAACTTATATATTATTTTTTTTATCATATTCTATTAGTAACATTTTGCTCTGGAGTAACACAAAAAGCTGATTTTTTTAAAAACTCGATTACTGCGAAATATTTAATCATTGTCTTGTATAAGAAATGTGGGATAGAATTTTTCAATTTACTCAAACGCTACCTGGTTTAATATATTGTTTCGTAAAGGTAATAATCATTTGATAATGTAGTCGTGCAGTCTCTGCAGAGTAACAATAAAACAGAGTCATGCTCTTGCACAGAGTTTTTCATACGGTAAGAAGAGTTTTCTGCTTTCTAGTAGAGATCCGCGAGAGATGACATTGTAAAAACTTCCATAAATTTTATCATAACGCAAAGAAAATGTTAATGTACATATTAAAGTAAAGTAATAACAAAAATTTATAAAATTATTTTCGAAAAATTACATGTTTTATTTGTGTAATCTGATTAAATATTCTTTTAATAATAATAAATTTTTTTTTAATTTTTCGAGTAATTTGCTAAATAAAATAAACTAATCATTAAAAAAGTGTTTTCATAAAACCGAAATAGTATAAAATTAATAAAAAAATAAAAGTTAAATAATAATACTAACATTATATTAATAAAATATGTTATAAAATAAAAAATAGACGATGATAAATTTTGAATATGTGAATTACGTTAGTGTTCTATTAGTAACATTTTGCTGGCTAAATATTAAAATTAATCGTATTATTGAAAACTTAAATTGTTATATTAAAATTATATTTTTACTATTTTTCTGTATAGGAAATAAAAATTAAAGTTTAGTTAAAAATACAACCAAAAGTACAACTGTGAAACGGAAATAGTCATTTAATTTTATCATAAACTTACTTAATAAATATAGCTTTTTAAATTAATACATTAATCATAATTTTATTACATAAGCTGGTAGAGCTAAAAGCTAGAACTTAATACTCGCAATTATTATTTACATCATATAGAAAAACCACAGCCGTTTTGGCCTTGGGCGTAATCCATCTTCAGCGTGGAAAGTAAACAAACAATTTTTCGATAAACGATCTAGAAGTAACACAACGCAACGTCTTTGAAAAGTTTTACATTTGTCACTACTTAATACATATTTAAAATTGATCTCAAACGCAATTTCTTTGGTTATATAATATCTATTGTTGTCTATATTTTCCGATTTTTCAATCTCGAGGTTGGAACGCAAAATTGTGTCTCCTTAATTTGATTTTTTTATAGTCATTTACTCTGATGTCTAATTAAAATTAAGACCATATTGACCGCACCAATGTTTTTAGTGTGTCTTAATTACATTACGTTTATTAAAAAGTATCCAAAAAGCGTCACCTCATTTTTCGCAACTAATGACACTAGTTGTTTAGAATCCTTAGTGAATACAATGTTATAAAGTGAGGCTGGCTTGATGAGTAAGAATATGAAGACGTTACGGAAAATGTTTATAAATGTTTTCCAGACCTATTGGGAAAACCACTCTAAAAAGAACGCGTCCGCAATTGTACCTGACGTGGAAATCTATTGAAATGTTTCCATAATAAATTTAAAAATTTTTTAAAAATTGACTTTAATACACTTTTAAAATTTTAATAATAAAGGGAGAAGAAGCTAATCATTAATTGGATAGTGCTGCTGCTGACGTTCGACAGCGCTGAGCCTAACGCTGTGGTGCGCGTGGTAAGCAGAGGAAAGGAGGTGTCAATCACGAGAATCGGTTGAAATGCTGAGATGATTACAAGCACTGATGTAAATAATTGCGAGCATTAAATTCTAACTTTTAACTTTACCAGCTTATGCAAAAAAAAATTATTATTAGTCATTTAACTGATAACAAAAAAATATTGGGTAAAATATATGTAGGTATACCACTTTTCCGATTATATATATACAGGGTGTCTGGCAATAATCGCCCCACGGTCATATACAGGTAGAGGAGGTCAAATCGAGTAGAAAAGTCCTTTTACCATTTTTTTAATTTCATAATAA